GGAAACCGTACGGTCTCTACAAATTTTCTTTTTAAATTATTTTAATAAATCTAATTTTTTTCAGAGGGAGTTTTATTAATAAAGTGAATACAAATACCTAATTCGTAGGTAAATTCAGTGTCTTTTCTGCTCAATTAAGGCCGAAAACATCGATCGAGCAAGTGTTCGTGATGTGTCCAAAAAATCATAAATATGTATTATAGCTGGTGGGGTCTAAACCTCACGACCAGGGACGGAGCCCGTGGCGGTGGGGGGGCTCTCCCCCCTAGACTTTTGAAAAAAAATTAAATAGGTCCTATACTTTTTAAAAAATCAAATAAACCCTTTTTGAAAAAAAATAAAATGATGTATTCTAATTTTTATTTTTTTATAAATGTTATAATAAATTACTAATCACTGGATAAGTAAAATAAATTTAATAAAATATTTTTATTTATTTGAAGTGCTTATCATTGTAATATATGCATGGTTAATAATTATTTGTACCAAGTAGTAAAATAAAATTAACTTAAATTTTGTATTATTTATTCTTTAGAACATTTAATTTTTCTATTTGGATCATATTAAGTAATATTTTGTGATAAAAGTTGTTTTCAAATTAAAATTTTAATACACATAAATTTTAGTAAGTCTTTCTACATTTAGAATCTTTAAAATTTTAATTTTTGTATATTTATGTTTTAATCTTATTTATAAATTACAAGTCAAGAAATTCATTTTTAGCATACACATTTTAATTAGCACTTCGCCCCCTAAGATTGTTTTCTGGATTCGTCCCTGCTCACAACAACAAATTCAATTACATTGTTATATGAGAGGGCATTGTGAAGGTTATCAATTTCAAGTTGAAGCAGAGGCATGGCCTTCTGTTTTCTTTGTGGTTACCTGGTCTCTATGGTACATGACAAGCTCCATTCTTTCCAATTTGCTTGTTGGGATGAGGACTTAGTAATAATAAAGAATTAGAGCACCTTCAATGCCATCATTATAAACATTGAAATCAGGGCTTTTATTTCCTTTAACCTTAAGGCATGATTAAGGGCATAGTTATTATTTTTTTATAATTAATTTATGTAAAAAATATAAATATTTACTTTAATTTAATTAATTAATTATAATTATTTATAATAATAATTTTTAAATAAATATTAATTTTTATAATTTTTTATATAAATTAATTATAAAAAGATATTTATTATATATTTAAAGATAAAGATTAGACCAACTCTTCAAATAAATTGAAAACGAGTGATAATAAAGACATTAGAGCAGCTCCGATGCCGGTTCCCCCAGTGAGTCTAAAGTCTCAACCGAGACGTGAGACACAATGGGCAGAGGGAGAGAATAAATTTCCCCCATCCTTGGGGAACCGTACGGTAGACTGACCCACCCCTTCGGAGACCGCACGGTCTTTACAATTTTTCTTTTTAAATTATTTTAGTAAATCTTTTTTTTTTCTTTTTTCTTTTTTTCAGATGGAGTATTATTAATTAATAAAGTGAATACAAAAAGTGACTCATAGGTAAATTCAGTGTCTTTTCTGCTCGGTTAAGGCTGAAAGCAGTGTTTTAAAACCTGAACCGGGTATAAACTGGTTTGCTCACTGGTTCCTGGTTTGACTGATCCGATCGGTTCAACCAACCGGCCAGCCGGGTCAAAGTAGAAATGCAAAAACAGAAGTGCTGTGTTTCCCGGCATCATTCTGCTGCAATTTTTTTTTCCTTGCAATTTGTAGTAACTACAAATCCAAAAACTCAATAAACACATAAAAACAAGTCCAAAAACTCAATGAATACATAAAAAAAATCCAAAAACTCAATAAATACATATAAAAAAAGTATCATACAACTATAAATGTTAAAATTAATAAGTCTCACATATATATATATATATGAAAAATAATTCCAAAAACAAACTAATATGCAAATAATACATAAATTACAATTATTCATTGTTTATCCCCAAGATGAGGAGGGTTTTTATTAAACCAAGCATCACGTTCACGAAAATCATTTTCACTATCATAACTATTATCATTTTCTTCATCAATTGACTCCAAATCAATTCCCCCACTTGCACTACCAATATGGAATTATCCTTCTTCACCACCTTGCACTTCTTCATTAATATCATGTGTGCCACCTTAGAAGTTGAAAAACAAACACATATAATAAATAAAAATCAACAAAATAAACCATAAAAAATACCTAACTCACATAATCAACAAGATAATTCATAGAATGACAAAATAACATAATAAATTTAAAATTAAAACACTAGGAGGTATGAAATGAAGAGAAACTTTGATTAGTCACTAATCTTCTTTTTGAGTTATATGACATATTGGCATTGTTTTATCATTATAGATCATATTCTCCAATTCATCATAATCAAGAATTGGAGAATCATCTTCTTCCATGACTCATTCCTCAACATTGTCTATGCTTTCATAATCAATAGGATCAAAGCAAGTCTTCCTTTTGTTATCATTCCTATTATTCAAAATAAAAATAAAATTTCCATAACAAAAATATAAGAATATATAAAGTTATAAACAATAAGAAATGAAACTTTATTAATATAGTATAAGTATTATATAGATTGGATAAAGTACCTATGTTTCAAACGCAAATTATAATGCACATAGACAAGATCATTCAACCTTTGATGCTCCAATCTATTCCTCTTCTTGGTGTGTATTCTTTCAAATACACTCCAATTTCCTTCACATCCTGAAGAAGATGATGTTTGACTCAAGAGTTGTATTGCTAATTTTTTAAG